GCGAGCCTGCTCAGTCCGCTCAGGAGTGCCAGGCATGCGCACAATGGCAACCAGGGGTCCGCTGGTGGGGCGGTGCAGCTCAATATGAGGGGTGTCCATCTCAGGTGGGGCCGTCAGTCCCGTGTGGGCGCCCCCATCTGCCTCAACAGTGCCGGCTGCTGCTGCAACGAGATACCGCTTCAGACGCTTGCTCGCTTCGGTCAGGAGGGGCAGGTCCGCTGGTGTGATCCGACGGCTAAAACGATCGCTGCGTGCACCATGGCCGTCCACTAAGGCCGGGGCTCGGCAGCGCCGTGCCGCATCATAGGCATACGCGCCAGCAGCGTTGGTGCAGTCAAACAGATCCGTAAGAGCGACGGCGGCGAGGTCGGTGCCAGCCGTCGGATCCTCCTGACCCGGGATGTACACGAAGTGCTCCAGCTGACCCTCGGCGGGTGGCTGTGTTTCAGGATCAGGTCTGAGATGCCCGCGGATGGCGTCGTCGGTGTCTCCATCCGAAGTGCTCGTGCTGTCACCTTCAGGCAGCGCGGCTGCTGCCGCCGCCGCACGCTGCTGGCGGCGCCGCTGGTTGTACTCCGCCTGACGGCGGGCTTTCCCTGTGTGGTCCTCTTCGATGTTGTCCAGCAGCACCGTTACGTACGCTTGGTATGAGCGACCTGCCTCGGTAGTGGCCAGCTCTGCCCACCAGGTGTCGTAGGCTTCCTTTACAGTCAGCCCGGGGGGGATGGGCTGACCCCGGTGAGCTTTGAAAGTACCCAGGACAAACGCGTAGTACTGCGCCATGCTCGCAGCAGAGGTGCCAGGGCGGGGCCGGCGGGGAAGAGAGCCTCCAAGTTGTACATATCGCGGCCGCGGTAGGCGGATGTGGACATGTGTTCTGTACAGCGGATGCGTGCCGTGGAAGGCCACCAGGCGGGGCAGCTCCGTGGCTGTCTGAGACGTTGGATGGTCGAGTGTCGCTGCAGCTGTAGGAGCAGGTGGCTCAGGAGGAGGGGCCGGGGCTGCAGTCAGCAGAGGCACAGGGGCAGGCACGGGGGCGGTTATGGGTGCAGCAGGGGTAGTGCGCTTGCGGCGTCGAACTGCCACCGGGACCTGTAGACCCAATCGCTCTCGGTGCGGGTGCTGAGCTGGCGGCACACGTCGAACCTCATAGCTGGAGACGATATTGTACACGCTGCAGTCCAGGCCGCTGAGTTCTTCCCCCCGCAGCACATAGCTCTGCACGGCGTTGGTCACCGTGTAGCCCTCCTGCTCCTCAGCCTCCACCAGTACTGCTGCTGTAGTCGCCGCCTCAGGAGATTGCTCGGCGCCCGCAGATAGCGCTGTGAACGCGTCTACCTGCAGGTATGCGCTTTCGAACGTCGCCTCGAAGGTGGAATGACCGTCCAGCTTCATGGCGACAAGCGCCATACCAGCCGTAATGGCAGCGGTCATGCGATGCACAGTGGCACACATGTTGCCAAAGGCAGTGGGCCCACTAGCACCCGGAGTTGGCGTCCTTCCAGCGAGCAGGAAGTCCTGCACTCGGGTAAGAGCGTTGCATGTCAGCTGCGCCTGGCTGTCGTTGATGCTCTTGCCAGTGTACTTCGTGCTGTAGTAGGCAGAGTCGCGGGCGCGGTCAGCGGCAGGTTGCAGCAGTGCACAGTCCCCCCGTTCATCTTCAGGGCGGGCCAGTTGCGCTGCTGCCTCTGCCGTGTAGACGCGATCCACCTCGCACGCCAGAGTAAACAGCTGATTGCACCCAAATGCCAGCGCTGCAGCTGGCATGTGCGGTATAATGTTCGGGCCCAATCGCGGCAGAAGGAAGAGGCCGCCGGTGCCAATCCACTGGAAGGCGCTGCGCAGGACACGAGGGAACACCATGCCACAGCTATCATCTGTGCCACGGCAGCCATGTCGCTTGCACGTGTCGTTATGTGTATGAGTAAGAGTGCTGCGAACAACGGCTGCGTGGTGTGCACGGCAAGCAGCGTGCCGAGGAGGAGGCGGGAGCCCGCCACCTGCACACCCAGCGAGCCTGCCAAAATCGTATGCTGCAGGCGGGCAGGACTTGTCGATGGGCGGAGGTGCACGGCCATGCTGCCGGGCCTCTTCGACGGTCATGTCCATGACGCAGTGTTCTGTTCCGTGGACGAAAGGGTCATAGTACGGCGAGGGATACCACATGGCGCACAGTGCGTATGCAAGGGCCAGCGCTCGGCAGTTGGGTCCGTTGAACAGTGCCTGAAGACGCTCGACTGCAAATGCGGCCACATGTGCGACACCGTGGATGTGCAGGGCAAGGCGGCCGCTCTGTTCCACCTTGACCGCCACCTCAAACGTGAGCCCGCAGAAGCAGTGCGGGTTGGTCTGCTGCATGGCGCCTGGCGCAAACCCAAAGAGCTCTTCCACCAGAACCTCCTTGGTGGCCACCAGCAGAGCGGCGCAACTGTACGGGTCATCCTTCACACGCCGCCACTTTTCCACCGTGCTCGGGATATGCTGCGGTCGTCCGTCATCGTCGAAGTCCAACACCTGTCCGGATGCCACGACTGCACAAGCTGCATGCATATCTGCCGGATTAACGGTGAAGAACAGCGGAGGCCAGCCAATGGTGAGGGCGGCTGCACGCATTTTGGAGCGGGCGCCGTTGTAATATGCGTCCGTAAGGTCGAGGCGCAAAGTACTGAGGCGGGCCCCCTCCACCAGCGCCTTAACCAGCGGTGATTGCTGTGTAAGCAGCTGCCGCCGCTGCGAGTGCCGATACGGCAGCGCCAGTATGGTGCCCATAGCACGGATGACATCACGCGGCACACGCGCCGCTGGTTCACCAAGATGCGGCCGCATGTTCATGGTAATTCCCACCTGCGCCATGCTTTCGTGGCGCACGCAGATGTCGTACATGCGTGCCAGCAGCATGAGGTTGCCGCCGAATTGCGTCCGCGGCACGCGGTGCAGTAGGTGGCGACAATATGCCGGAAAAGACATGCCGCGGGGGCGCTGACCAGAAAAGCCGTATGGGAAGGACTGGGGGAAGCAAAGGGTGAGGATGGCGGGATGACGGTCATCCAGCACGTGGCTGTCACGACCACCAGCCGCAAACGCAATCCGTGCGCGGCCAGTCAGAAGGTCCTCCACTCGGCCTGGGAAGCGGTCGATTTCACTGCCATCATCACCAACATTCGACGGCTGCGGCAGGATCAGCTCCAGTTCGTCCAGAGTGGCAGCTGCCGGATCAACTGCATGATCAGACGACAGATGCACAAGAGCTGGGTCAGAATGCACGATGTGGCAGGCAATACGATCAGCCAGCATGGTACACGCGGCGGTA